TTTATTTTATGTATGTTCGGCTCAAGGATGAAGTGAAAAATCGCCAATGTTGCACAAGTTTTGTTTAGTTAAAATTAATATTTAGCAAACGCGAGCTTCACAACTGTGACTTTCCGTGGGAAGTGGTGGGGGAAGGTGGTGCATCGTAGGCGTGTGGTTAAGCGAAAACGGCAAAATGCTTGTGAAAGTAAATGTTGGTGGTTATTGGAGCTGAGGTGAGCCATAGAAATGCGTTGAATAATGAGTTTCGGGAGGTGAGCGAAAGCGTGAGAAATGCTGAACATTTTTTCTTCATGTTGCAAATGTATGTAGATGCGTGTGCTCTGGTTTTGTGTTATTTCAGGTTGCGGTTAGTGAAAAATGTAGACTGTAGAGCAGAATTTGTATTTCTAAGTTTGAAATGTTTTATAGCAAGCAATGCCTTTGGCTTTCATTTATTTTCTTAGAACATATTTAGTTTTTTTGCATAAAAACTATAAATGAGTCCACAAAAGTTATTCCAATTTTATTCATATAATATATGCGTACATTTATTTGCTTCAACCATTTTTTTTCTCCAACATTCTTTGGTGTGAAACCAATATCCACTCACTTACCCGGTACATGCGAGCCAATTGCCACCCACTGTGGCTATTAAAAGCGCAATTTACTCGTAAATCCTTGGAGCACAGCATAAAACTATCACGAACTGACAGCGCTAATAAAAATATCAAAACCACAACGACTTGTTCCAAATAGAAGAACAGACAACAAAAAGAGAACAGAAAAAAATTGATTTCTCAATTTTACTGCAAACATGCAAAGTGCAAACCAATGCCTGCCAACCCATAGACCCAGCCGAAAGGGCGAGCGCCACAAGCAGCAATACCAAAGTAAGCAAGAAATACAGGCGGAAAATCACACGAAAGGCCGCGGCCTGTGATTTGGCCTGCAGTGATAACCGACAAATTGAATACACGACAGCGGCGATGGCTCGCCAAGGCTTTCAGGGGGAGTACAAACGGATAGCAAATAGTTGTTGTTGCCGTTTCAAGCAGCTTACGAGTAACTGCGTGTGTTTGCATGTAGGTGTGTAGGTTTATGGGTTGGCCAATTGCTTGCTTCACTTGTTAGCCGGTTGGCAAACTGCTCATACTGTTTGCTGGATGGTGTCCAACAGTGCCATCAAGGTGCCAGCGTGGAACGTGAAGCATATGCATTTAGCACACTTTGCCATGGACTACGGAGCCACATGAAGACATCCTAGCGAAAACCCTTCCATCTGCTGAGCATTGCCTAGTTGTCTGCCAGCATGCCTGCTTGCCTCCTTGACTGCTTGAGTTTCCAGCGAACGCATTGAGACTGACGTCGACCACCTTGCTGCATACTTGCTTGCTCGCCACATGCTATGCAGCATGCATATTGCGACTGCCACTTCCTTCAATTCAGCCACTTTTGCTTTTGTGCCAATATAAGTGAGTATTTATGCTTGTACACGTATGTACGTTTACGTGTGGCTGCCAAGCGAAAGGATTTGCGATTCTCGTTCTGTTCTCTCTGCTCTGTGCTGTTGTTTTGCCAACAAGGAAATCAAAACATAAATCTCCAACAATTCTGGTCTAATTGAATTTCTCTTTACATCACTTCATTCTTGTTCTTCTTCTTCCCTTGTACCCTCCCATTTCACTCTCACTTGGAGCTGTCTCACTTTTCTTGTCAATTTACTTATTTCTTTATGTTTTTATTTCGACCATTTTGCCTTGGCAATGCAATGAAGATGATTACATATAAAAGAGAAAAGAACAACAAAGCCTAAAACATAAAATGGAATAAAAAATACAATAGCATTGTATGCTCAACTCTTTAGGAGAACGAGCTGCCACAGAGTTTGGAGTGCTTTTTGCATTGTGGTCAACCATTGCGTTGGTTGGGTTGTAGAGTTCAGCGGAGCTTGTTTTTTTTTTGTTTTTTTTTTTTTTTTTTTGTTTTGGAGAGCAGGAATTGAAAACTGGCAAAACGTTTGAAAGTTTATTAGATAATGCCATAGTTTGGCTGTCTGCTGTCTGCTGCCTGCTGAGCGTTGGCTCCTTTCTAGCGCTACACCCCGCCTGCTTTATTTGTTTTTCTGTTATTCAATTTCATTTGCATAGTGCTTAAAACACTTATCATATATATATATATATATATATATATATATAAATATATATATATATATTTTAGTATAGTAAATTGTTTTAAACTCATTTTTGAACTAAAATGGGCTAAGTGACGAAGGCTTCTCGAAGGCTCGAACAAATTCCAGTGGAGTGACCCAATTAATCACTTTCCGCAGCAATTGGTGCCCCATATTGTCTTCTAATATGTCAATCGTCTCTGACTTATTAGCGCTTACTTAGACTTTACATAACCTCACAAGAAATAGTCCAGCCGTTAAATGTTAAATCGCACGATCTTGGATATCATGATGCAGGCCCACGACGCAAGTTAATGCAATAAACAAAAGTTTCCTTTAATAAATTGATCGTTTCACTGGCTGCGTGCCATGTAGCACCGTCCCGTTGGAACCAGAAGTCGTCAACATTACCATCCTCAAATTCAGGTACGAAAAAGTCATTAATCTTGACTCAATAGTATTCCGCATTGACTGTAACATTATGGCCGGTTTCTATTTGAGAATGTAATGGCATGTCAAAAATGGATTGTGTATTTTCATTACTCCAAATAATATAAATTTGTTCACTTACGTACCTATTCAATCAAAGGTGAGCTCCACTGAGCTGAACAAAATTTTCTAATTTGAATCAGGAAGATCGCTTCGTTTTGGTCCCACCCACAGCTCAATTCGTCCATGAATTGGATTTTCTAACCCGCACAGCAAGGTCCTTCTGCAAAATCTTCCTTAACCTAGATATGCTTATGGAAGTATGAGCTTATTCGGGTCTTTCTCTAGAGTCTGCTTCACAGCAGCACTAGCATCTGCGGCGCACATCTAGCGACGTCTCTGAGGATGCGAAACTTCCATAATGCGAAAGCGATTCATATTTGCTCCATTATGTTGACCGAATACAGGGCTAAAACTAAGCGTAAATCCAGTAAAAGCTGTAAAAAGACCCGCACCGAGAAGAATGTTGTCTCATTGAAAGCCACACGTCTAAAAAAACACTCTTTACTAGAAATTCTTCAAATCGACATTCTTTGGTACAAATTTATTTTTTCATACTTTACATTAACTCTTCGTCAATCTTTTAAAATCAATTTTTTTTCGAATTTATTATTGTTTTGAATGCAATAAAAATTTTTCAAACTTTTTATAAACGCATATCTAACATCAAAACAAGTACTCAGTTCAACATAAAGTCAAGTTGAATTGAGTTAAGTACTGAAACTTGAATAGACAGCGCTCTCACAGTATCACACACACAAGCCCAGAGTCAATAGCAGAAAAGAAATTTTCGACAACTCAACAAAATTTGAAATCTCGATTTGAAAGATTCTTCAAGAAAAAGATTTCAATACTTTGCAAACAACTTTTCCTTTGTTTCTTCTTTTGTATGTAATACGTATGTGGTAACCCTGTTGCGCTGTATTTTGTTGCTACTTCTTGTTGCGCTCTTCGGCAGAGACACACATTTTTTGCTAAACAAAAAAGTGTTGGGTTGATCACGTACCACATACAAATGCGTGACTGTATCTGGGCGTAAGTTGACCACAGTAAGCTGAAAATATGTTACGGACGCAAAAAGAGAGCGGCTTTATCCAGCTTTAAATTTATGACGTGCCAGGTGACCAGGCATGCAAGCTCGTTATGCATGCATGTGTTTGACCCATCTGTCTGGCATGCATTGTACCTCTCTGAGTAATCTTTTTTCGCAATATCCACTGAGGAACATATAAAATCTGCAGCGATTTTTTATATTGTGACCAATCACACATACTCTTCGGACCATGCATTTCGAAACAGAGACAAAATAATGAACTCTTCTTGTCAGTTAGGAGGTTAATGCATAAATTTATAGTCGTGTAGAAAAGGAGTTTTTCAGTGAAATATGTACATAAAGGGTGCTTTTTTAAGAGCTCTAGAAAAGTTTAAAAAAAACACATAAAATTCATAAAAATTAATGAAATCTTTATTTTAATCGATATATGGACCGTACATATAATTTAATTTTTGAAGATTATTTCACGCAAATGTTGACCGTGACTACGCCTCAAATGGTCCATCTGCTTAGTCCAATTTTCGGATGCTCTTTCGAACATTTCGGCCGGTATCTCACGAATAAATGCTTCAATGTTGGCCTCCAATACGTCAATTGAAGCGGGCTTGTCTGTATAGACATTAGATTTACCATAGCCCCACAAAAAACTGGCTAGAGGCATCAAATCGTACGATCTAGGCGGCCAATTGACCAGTCCCAAACTTGAAACAAAATTTTTTCCGTTCTCGCCTCTCAATGAATCCATTGTTACGCGTGCTGTGTGGCATGTGGCACGGTGTTGTTGAAAACACATGTTAAGCAAGTCAAGCTTAATATGACAATATGATATCATCTCACGGTAGCGCTTACGTTAAGATTCTCATTATTGAAGAAGTACGGTCCAATGATGCCACCAGCCTATAGACCGCACCTATCTGTGACCTTTTATGGATATACTGGTAGCTCTTGCAATGCTTCTGGCTGATCTTCACTCCAAAATTGACAGTTCTGCTTACTTACGCCCCCTCTAAGCCAAAAATGAGCTTCGTCGTTGAACCATCTTTTTTCTAACTTTCTTAACAGAGCACGCATTTTGATCTCGAAATTCAATGATTTGCAAGTGTTGTTCGTTTGTGAGGCGATTCATGGTTAAGTTATAGACCAAACTGAAGATGTTTGACAGAGAAATCAAAAAGGCGAATCGTGCGTCAGCTGTTTAAACCATTGTTGCCAAAAAGACAATAGCCAAAAAATCACCCTCTACTAAAATAGTTTTTGCTATAGAGTTTTACTATATCTAACATTTGTTCTTCTTCTTTCTTACAGTTTCATAACATTTAAAGTCATTTAGAGGAAAGTAGTGCAAAAAATGGCTAAAGAACTAAAAACGCTCGGATGGGACTACTTTATGTTCGTGGTCTTCATTTTGATCACAGTTTTTGCACCGCTTTGGAAACGAATGTTTGGCAAGAAAAAAGAACGCAGTAAAGCCGATTATGTATTTGCCACAGGTGGCATATCAATTGTAGCAATTATGTTATCTATAGCACGAGGCACATTGGGCGTGAGAACTGTATTGGGTGAGTATTGATTGCATTACTTCAAAAATTTAAAAAAAAAAATTACTATAATGCTAATGGACTCCGTATCTATTGGTTTATGTCGTTCCGCCTCCACTTCTGCCTTAGTCGCTTCGCTCGTTCGCACATACACACCGAGCGAAGCATCTCCCTGTTTCTTTCCATTCGCTGCGTCCTTAGCATGAAGCAAAATACTGCACAGCGGCAGATTAAACGACTTCTTTGTAGTGTAGAGTAGTGAAAAATAATAAATAAACAAATTATGAAAATTAAAAGTTGTAAATGATGTGTGACGCTTATTTAGTGCACCTACCTCAAAAAGATTATTTTGATTATTTAGCAGCATTTACTGCTCCGCTTTACTCAAACAGATTTCTAATAATAAAATTCATTTATGCGATGCTAACAGATTTAAAAGCTAATTTGAAGATAAGCTTCATCATACCCAAATAGTAGAGGCATACACACATACAATAAATTAAACTCACTCTATCATTTGTAATTTATTATATGAATTTCAGTACCAAAAAAAAACCCAGAGGATGTACACCAGCATTCGGGCACCCACTCGTATCCTCGTCACAAAAATAAGGTTTACTTTTAACTCTTGAGTAGTAACACCAATTATGAGACAGTTGCTGCGGCAGATCTCCTTGTTTGCATATACCTCTACCTACCATTACTCCTTTATCTCCTTTTTGGCAAACACAAACAAATGTTCTCCACCACCTACCCCGCCCGGTGTTTCACTCTGAGCGGTGGCACAATCCAGGGAGCAAAAGTACTTTCTCATTTGGGTAGTCCTGCTAAGCCAGTGATTTGTAGCGCTTGTTGAGCCGAGCAGTAGCTGGAAAGTACATTTTGAATAACTGAATTTTGTTATAACAAAATATGGAGAGCGATTACACACGTGAATACACTCATACACCTGCACACGGAAAGATATTTATATAAACGCTGGCAGAAGTACCGCTGCTTTGCATACTCGAGAAAAAGTTTAAATCTAACTATTCAAGAGATTACACGCACATTATGCAAATTGAATAACAGCCCAGCTCTCAGGTGTACGAGTTTTTCCAATCTTATTTTCAAAGGCCAATACAACGCCCACACACACACTAGCACATGTGTAGAGATCCTCTTTTAACTTGCAACAAACAATTTTATATAATATAATAATATATACCGACTTATTGCTTACAGGTTATCCGAGTGAGTTATTCTATCGTGGCTCGGCAATGTGGGAGAACATCTATGGCATGGTCAGCGCCTATCCCATTGTCTGCTTCGTCTTTGTGCCAGTTTATTTTAATTTGGGCATTACGTCAGTCTATCAGTACATAGATTTAAGGTAAGTTGATTTACAAAAAAAAAATATTTTCGTTTTTATTTGCCATTTGAGAGGTCTAATTTGTGCTACACCCTTAAGTAATCAATTTTAGTTAAAAAAAAAAAAAAACTTAGAGAACAGCTGCGTCAATTTGTTATGATGGCCACGCGCCTTTGCGTTAGTTACAAATTACATACTGAACTTATAGAAATTGAAATTTTGAAGAAATAATGAGAATTGAAATACATCATAAAGTGGAGTTGAAATAAATTTCGGCAAAATAAAATTAAATTAAATTCAATTAAATCAAAATAAAATGAAATGAAAAACAATAAGATAAAATAAATTTATTTCAATTAATTCACAAAAATAACACAAATTAAATTAAGTTAAACAAAATGAAATTTAATGAACTAAAGAAGACAAAACTAAATGAAATTAAATTATTTATCTTATTATATTTAACTTTTTTAAATAAATTAAACTAAATTAAATTGAATTAAATCGAGTTTAACTAATTGCATAAACTAAGTTAAATTAAATAAAATAATATTAAATCAAATATAGCAAAACAAGTCTACTAAATTTAAACAAATTAAATTAATAATATTAAATTTAATTAAGTTATATAAAACTAAATGAAGTAAAAGAACTTTGGCGAATTTATTTTGTCTCAATATTTATATATATTTCATATTTTCTTATAAAGTTTTCCCGCTGGCTACTAGTTTCCTTGTGTACTCATACTCATAAATTGGCTATACTCCAGCCAGTCAACAAATACACTCTCTCAATCTACGTATTATTTCAACGGTTTTAGTATACTTATATATATAAATATGTTTTTGTATGTATTGGCTTGCTAACAAAGTCTTGAAATGTACTGGCGACAAGTTTTAATTAAGCTTCAGCAAGCACATGGAGGCTAACAGCCACCGAGAAAGCTTGGAACTATTAATTGCAGCTTTGTTTGTGTGTCTGTGTAATAAAAACAGCAATGAGCTTCGACAGAAGCATTTCACAGAATTTAAAATTGTTTTGTGTAAATTTAAATGTCATTAAGCATAGCACGCAGGCACAACAGGCAGCAGCCGCTCCCACCAAACGAAATCCAGCTGGTTTCGACTTCGGACAGTAACAAGAAGAAGCGTCACTGCGAGGAGGACAGCAAACATAGAACCTGAATTTCAATGCTCGACTTATTCCCCACTTGCTTTGGTTGACGGCCCCCACCCCGTTTTGTGTGGAAGAATGCTTATCATTGGTGCCTGAGTTGGAAAGTTAACTAAGTAAAATTGTCACTAAATTGCTTTCGCATTGAAAATTACTTAACAAATTTGTTATCAAATGTTTGCGCGTTTAGTGTATATTTAATTAATTGTATGCTCGCCACCAGTGATTGTGTTGTCTAACACAGCTACGGGCATGCTGGCAACACATAAGCGCAAACATACATACAAACAAACTCTTAAAACGATTCGAGTCACAATTGTCGCTTGCCCGCATTGCCATTTTGAATTTAATTTAAATCGAATTGCCTGGCAGTTATTTTGTTGATTAGAGACACATTTCCCAAATTGACTCTTATTTATGCATTCAGGTGCCGTTGAGCGGACGGATAACTACGTAAGAATAGGCATTTATGCATAATTGGGGCAGTAAAAAAAAACAAACAGAAACAAAAACAAACATAACTTGATACAAACATATTTCATTTATAAGCCGGTTTTTATTAAAAATTTCAATATTAATCAAATAACATTGACGTACTAGATTACGCTATTTTCTCAGAAATGACCATTTTTTACATGAATTATTTTCCAAACAGGTTAAGTACTCTTCTTTAAACATTGACAACTTTTTGTCCAAATGATGTCTGGGCTTTCAAATGCTTACTTGAATGAAAACAAAATCAAAACAATAGATTAGATATATTCATACTTCACATGATACTGAATTTCACTTTTTATCTCTAAATGGATTCTAATCATTTTTAATGCGTTTCGAAAGCCCACAAATAATACATTTAAATTTTTTTCTGTTTCGCATTCACGAGGTCAGTAGCAATGAAGTACTTAATAAATTAAGTTCTTGCTATTACATATGTATGTGTGTTGTGTAAGAACCTTAACCGTCCAAAATTTTCTCCTTACTCATATCATAGTGTTGTACTCGTATATCTAAAAATTCCCTTTCCTTCCTGCGATTCACAGCATATCCCCAATATGTGACTGATTAAATAAAGCTCATCAATATAAGTACACACACGCACATAGAAATTTTGCTTTTAAATGCAGTTAAATGCTTGTATATTTTGTAATATTTACCAAGGGTACATTAAACCAGAAAATAATTGAAGGAAGAGAGATAGAGTAAGAGTGACTGAGTGTGGATCGTCATAACGGCAATGTACTCTGTAGCTTCTAATATGCAATCAATCAAGTGGAGCTACGCGCCTACCTCATCAGCGCAATCAATAACTGTGCGATTCAGCAGTGAAGTAATCTCACCCAACCATAATACTTCCATGGATTATTCGTGCCGTTGTTGTTGTTGTTGTTGTTGTTATTAATACATCTTTTTTAGATACGAAATATTCAATTAAATGCGCCTAAATTGACATTAATGGCTTAAAGCGTCAATTTCCGCACTCGTTTTGCGCTTCACTTCCGAATCAAATACGAGGGAGTGTAGGCCTCGATGGATTTCCATTCGATAAAACGCTGTGTATGTGTGTGTATGTGTTTGTGGCTTCGTACACATGAATTTAAGCTCGATTGCTTGGGGTGACTTGTTTGCGGGCAAATATACACGAGTATGAATATGAGCATTTATGTATGGATTTTAATATGTTCATATGGCTTAACATAAATTGTATTTAGATGATACATGCACATACTCGTACATACGTCTATGTTATTTCCATTAACCGTGCGCATAAGCACTTCATATTATACGATTTAGTTATGTATGTACTTGTATATAAATGATTAACTGCCTACCGCTTATTTGTAACGGCACATTAATGAAACATAAGCAGCAATTTCATACCAGAGACATACATTGTTATTATATATATATGCACATGTACAATAAATGCAAAATTATGATTTTAAATACCGCAAACAAAGCTGATAATTCACATACTCAAACACACACATTTACATGTGAACACATTGTTGATATTTATATTTTTTGTATTGTAAATATTTATTATTATTTTCGTTTAGCGCAAAACTATTAAATTATAGTTTCAGTTTTGTTTTTTGGACTTGCAAAAATGCAAAAGCAAAATTGTGGGACCCATTATTTTGATGAAGCAATAATAATCCCTACCATTAAAATATTAAAATATTAAAATATTAAAATATTAAAATATTAAAATAACAAACTTTTCTTATAAAGGAGCGCGACTTAAAAATTTTCCCTCCAATTTAGTATCATGTTTGATTTTTGCAAATTTTCAAAACAACAACAGAATCGGAAACAAGGAAAAAATGTTGAATTAATCACGCAAAAAGCCCAAACACTAATTGCAGAAGTTTTTCTTCAAATTATATTTCCAATCTACACCGAAGTTCCTGTCATCTTGTAAATTCAATCACCAATAACATTTTCAGCATGTTTCCTTATGATTTATTATCACAACTCAACTGCAATATATATATATATAAAGTTTGTCATTTGCCTGAACATTTCTTTAAGTAATTGAGCAACTTAGGTATGTATCGTATGTATTTCAGTTTGGCATGTTGTAAATCGTGTCTCATTGTCGTGCCGTCCACTGAGCGCTGATGGACGCTAGAGCGTCTATTAAAAGAATTGCGTCAACTATTCGCTCGTCGGACTGATGACGCGGGGCACGACATATGAGCATTAACGCGTCCATTGACATTAACTTGGCGGCGCTAAGAAGTGTGGGTGGGAACTTTTGTACATTGTTACAAAAGTAGATATGTATATTTATCATAGTGGTGCTTACAAATGTTTATCATTAATGATGTATATATATACCTTGTGTGGAAATGTGCATGAGTGCGCACCGCGCTTTTTGTTCTGTGGCATGTGACCTTTCGAGCACATGGTATTAACGCACTAACGGCTGTTACGAATACAATGATATGCATATGTAAGAATAAATGTTTGTGTGTACGTGTGTGCGAGACAAATCTGTCAGATTGATGACTTCTCAACTTGGGACCTCAAGTATGGCATCATTTCCGCAAAGGTCCAATTGTGATTATTACCTTCACGCCATACGCGCACAAAAAATAAAACTATAAGCTTGCATGCACAAAGATTTAGCGCTCAATGATGCTTACCGTTAAAGAGATTTGCTTTTGTGCCATTTGCTTATGACTGCTCTTATGGTCAACAATTTGTGCTCATTTATGATAAAACGCAACGCTTAGAATCCGCATAATTTCATTATACACATAAACTGAATACCTATCCTAGCGAATCATTTATGTAATTTTACACTAAGGTTCTATTTCTCTCGCCTTCGCTTTCTTACATCATTCTTTTGGTGTCAGCCGCATAATAATCCACGAACAATCACCGGTTTTTAGCTTTTTTTGTACATTGTTGTATTTTTGACACGCCTTTTAAACTTCAGAATTTGCATAAAAGTTATGACGTTTAACTGCAGCCATGTCATTTGCAAACACAGTCGGAGAAATTTAAATATTTCGCTCTTTCGAAAGGTTAATTGACGTACGCCCGTTGCAGCGCTGTTGAAAGATAAAAGCAAATTTAAGCACCTGAATTTATAAAAAAAATCTTATATTATTTTTTTATTTTATTTTAATTTAATTTTTTTATTTTATTTTATTTTACTTTATTTCATTTTGTTTTATTTTATTTTATTTTATTTTATTTTATTTTATTTTATTTTATTTTATTTTATTTTATTTTATTTTATTTTATTTTATCTTATTTTATTTTATTATATTTTATTTTAATAAAAGTTTATCATTTATTTATTTATATCAAGAATTAAATATTTCTCTTAAATTGTC